GATTAGTCAAAACTATCAACAAACGGCATCTTTTTTTTCTTTCATTTCACCTCAAAAAAAGGTTTGTAAGTGAATCCAAACCCATAGCTTTTTAGATCAACGTTTTTGAAAAATACTAGAAACATAATACAAAAATATTTCTTAGCTAAACTATAGAATAAAATAATGACGGCCGACGGGCATAAGTTTGACAAACGGTTGGCCTTAAATCTTCAGCGTTTGATCAGATATTATACTTAGTATTTTAATGTATATCCCTTTTTAAAATAAGATTTACTACCTCTTAGGAGTCAGTAGTGCAACTAAGAGATGTACACTACACTATCTACAAATATTTACTAAATTCTAAACTAATAAATCGTAACTGATGATGTCAATCGAGCATAATAATGCTATGTTGTATCAAGATAATATATCAGCATCACCTTGACAGTTGCAAAAGGTTCATGTTAACAAAATAACTAAATACTTGGCTTAAGAAATTTCATTAGTTGCAGTTTATAAACATTGTATTTGATCAGCTCAAGGATAAAGATACTGGATAAGATACGTTTTAAGTTAAAATAGAGACCAAACTATCAGTTTTGTGTTCCTAAAGAACTGGGTCAAAGGTATAAACTGTTTTAATGTTTTATTCATGTTGAAAACATTAGAGTTAGGTGATATAACCCGGCATGAATATGATATGATCTTTGACTGGAAAGGAATTTATTTACTCAGTAATACAGATGAAAACTATGGTATTCTATATTACTGTCATGTATATGGAAATGAATACCTTATGAACATTTTATTTAAGATAATACTGAATTAACGAAGCAATTGATTGTACTATGGAAATCCATAATATAATTTATTTTTAATTTTTTTTCCAAAACCATTAATCGAAGAGAATGTCATTCATATTATTCATGTATTAGTTATTAGTTATTTCACCTAATAGGTGAAGATGATGATGATGAAATTCTCCCATTGGGTCTAATTATGATTGGAGTGTCCAATCGAAATCGATCACCACTTACCATCTTTTATGTATTTTTAACGTCTTGTGAGTTAACAGTATAAGCGTAAATATATGTTTTTAGTGTTATTAGACGTATCTTTCATTTGATTTTTAATCTTAGAATGCTTAGAGACCTTGATTTTCAAATAAATATAGTATAAATAAATGTATTTTGAAAAGACGATACATGTGACAACTGTGCATAATTGGTTTTGCTTATCGCCTAAATATAATTAACTAGATATAAAGTGCAATAAAATGAGACCACTATGTTATTACCAGCCAACAGGTTGACATGTATGCACAAATTAAAAGGAAAAAACCGAAGAAAGGGTAAGCTACATTTTACAATAAGAATAAAATGCGTTTAGGTTATAAATGGAATTTATTTTTTTATGGCGAGACTTGTGCTACTGCAAATCGCTTTAGCGTTTTGTAATACATATTTAAAACAATTGCACAGACATTTTTGCGAAATTATTTAATAATCATTGTATTATATAGCTATAATAAACTTCGCCAGTGTACATATTATACTATCAACCACAAACGATTCCACGATTGCATTCTCACGAAGGATGTTCAACCATGATTCTTATATACTCTTGAATACATTACAATACATTACAGCCTTTGATAAAAAGGTTAAGAAACGTCACAAAAACGTATGCTTGTACAAAAATTAATATAACATAATTTTTTCCATTATTGGAATTTTGATCTCTTTTATATGGGCTTTCTCACAAATGGTGATATTGGTTTTAATCGACAGTAAAGTTCTACAAAGGAAACTATCAGACAGACAATGTCGGCATGTCAAAAGGGATTTATATTGTGTTTGAAACAATTTCTCTCTGTTCTTCCGAGGCTTTAAGTGTTGAAATAGGAGATATTTGTTTCGAATTGCAAGTTATACACTAATTAAACATCAAACCCTTTAAATACAAATATTATTAAACACCTTTTCAGTACTACATTGGACAGGGGTTTTAATGGTTTTAATTGTGCAAAAACATTCTCAGACGCAATTTCAAATATAAACATTTACAAAAAGAACCCTATACGGAGGGTTCTAAAATACTGACTCTTAATAAAAGCTTGTTAATCATAACCTAACTGTATTAAAGTATTGTACATTTTGCCACACTTCCAGATATACATAAATACTTATAACCAAGAACATACATGAATTATAGCATTTATCATGCTATATATTGTTTTTAAAAACGTTTTGAAATGTTTGAAACATACAATTTGAAATGCCTTTAAATTTAACCTTGATTTGAATCGTTGGAACTATCATTAAATTTGATCTTAACCATTTACCTTGCAACCCCTCCCTAAACAAATCATAATAATGTATTATTTCCTTATGGTATTATTCTCAACTAGATTTAATCACGTCATACAACATTGTTTTTATCGTACCTTCGCATACGATGGGATTCACATCTACACTAGTTAATATTAGCTTGTTTGCAGAAGTCGAAACGACTAAAATAAAGTTACAAAATCAATTTTACGCCATCAGAGTCGTTAGGTAAACGTGTGACCCTTTTTAAAAAATTGATACCTGCAGGGAATTTCCACCTTGAGGCCATAAAGACTCAAGAATGGCGCTGTCTTTAGAAAACTATACGCTTTCAGCCACGTGTAGGCGTTTCAGCTTTTACCACACCCATTAACGAAGTATTTATTTCAAGGGTTGCTGTGATTCCCTTGTAAATAATCGTACATCAGAAGCACCTAAGAAGACTTATTCCGATCTTTGGATAAAATGCGAAAGAATTTAGTTAAAGGACTTTGTAAAATATTATAATGTTAATACCGTGGGCTGTTTTATTGTTGGTCATTGTAAATCACCACACTAATTTTTGAAATGTGAAAGTTAAGTTTTATAAAATAAAACGTGTTCCAAAATGCCTGTGAGAAAACTGCAAAACACATCATAGGAAATATTTTTTTTCGGGGATTATCGGTTATGGAAACCACATAAATTGTAAAGACTTCGTAAAAGCTTAAACTTAACTGAATATTTTAAATTGAAAAAAAAAAAAAACACTATTGTTTTGTATTCAACTTGAAAATCAAAACATCTTTTTCAATACAATTTTAAAAACATTCTACCTAATAACTTCTAACTAATGTTATTTACATCGGTGCTACTTAATAAAAGGCTTCATTAAAGCCTAGACCACACATGGAGACTGAGTCGGCCGACTGTCTGCCGATTGTACGCGGACAGTCGGTGGACAGTCGACAGACAGTTTGTCAACAAAGTTTCGGATACAAGTTTCCGATGTGTTTTGCGTCCACACTTGCAAACCAGTTTTTCAATGTTTGTTGGTATGGTGACCAAGGAGGGCGTAATTATATCCTGTGCGGGCTTCCTTTTTCTGAACCATAGGCCTAATAAATATAGGAAGAGATTATGATGGACCCAACATTTCTCATGGTCACAATCTTCTATCAGACCTTCAGATTAGGTGGAGGATTTAGGAACTTCAGGAGGTTGATTTCTAAAAGATTTTGAAATTTTGCTGGGCTTTGTTTGTCATTAGATTTCAATCTTTAAATGATGAACAATTCAATAAAATGTCATATAATAGTATAAATTATTGAAAACTAATTCCAATACTTTAAAGAAACTCAATCTAGCTCTTTTATTACCGCCCAAAATCTTATTTTTTACCGCTTTGCAGTCCTAACTAAATGGGCTGAATGTTGAACACATTCGGATTGTATCCAGTCTCCTGTCTCCAGAAACGTCTACACATGCAGACTTGAGACAAAAGTTTTGTCTCTTGTCTCCGTGTTTCCCATTCGAACGGGAAACAGAAAACACTGTATTTTGTCTCCAGAAACACCGAAGTTTGCCTGCCGACAGTCGGCCGACTTACTGGAGACATCGCTGGAGACAAATGGCAACACGCCGGAGACAGTCGGCAGACAATGTTTCCACAGACAAATCGCCATGTGTGGACGAGGCTTTGTCACACTCCTATTGAGCTATACACACACATTCATATCAAATTTCGTGCAAATCAGGCCAAAATTACCAGAGCTATAGTGTATAAGGATCTAAATAGATTTGATGTTAATCGGTCCCGGGTCTAAATATCATGGCACCTACGGCAATAGCTTATTACTTACAGGAAAAATTAAATAACAGTGGAAAAAATAATTACTAAATCTGTACAGAAAATTATCTATTTTATAGACAGAAATATGATAAATCCATTACCTTTTTATATCACTTTTTTAAACTGTATCATTAATTAAATTAAGGCATGTTGTAATATATGAATATAAGGCCAAAAATATATAAGAATACTATCATTGACTAGGGAAATTTTACAATAATTTTTACATATATTTTAGATGTCTGTTAAAAATAGAGATCTAATCGTAAACAGTAATATTTCGTCCTTCTAATAATACTAGTTCCATGATCAGCAACCTTAATTTCAAATCCCAATACAGGATAAAGTCTTTGGTTTTTGCGTATCTATTTCATGATATAACAAAGGATAAGTTACCGTTTTTTAATGCTGCAGTATTGAATCAAAAGACATGTTTTAGCTCATTTTTGAGAAACCATTTACTTTATCTATTGTTTAGGTAAGTAACAAGCTTTTAAAACTAATTTTAAATTCTTTAACAAATTCCATTAAAAACCCATTGGAATTATTACACTTATAAGTAAAATGATATGTAAAATGTATCTTGCCAAAAACTATTGCGAGTTTATGAATTTTACCCTAACTAGCATTGACTAGCAGCCAAGCGGGAAAATCTCTGGGAAATTCCGTAAACAAAAGAAATATAGAGCAAGAATTTACTTTATACTCAAACTGCCATCATCACAATACTTTATTATCTCTATAGATTACAATCACTAAGATCCTTATAAGTACAATTTTCTGAAAACAAAGGGTTATGTTCATAGCGAGTATTTCCTCTACAATAAACATGTACCAGAAACGGTTATACTCACAATTACTAATGACTAAGCATTTTATCCTGGGATCTTGGTAACCACAAACAAACAGGGTGTTCCGCGAACCACGTCACATAACACTGAGATCCAGACTGTACCCACCCCTAAACCCCTCCCCCCTACAAGAGATTTCATTGATTCTGTGCAGGCTCCGGACCAGGGCAGTGGTAGGGGGAGGTTCATGTTTTGTCGTTAATACCAATGATTAATATGAGAAATTATGATACATGTAAACATCATTTACGTTTCAACTCATGTAAATTAGTATTTTTTGTATTTGTTGTTTAGGGTCTGATCATTTTGGTGTTGTTGATTCAATTAATAGATTATAACAGTTTATTTTATTGGATGTTTAAGGGAAATCTATATGGGGTGATGATTTAAATTTGTACATAAACAGATTATGAACCCGTTGCTACGACACCTTTAATATCTCTCCGTCTAAAACTGTATTTGATTAAAGAAAAGTGAATATGATTAAATATATTAAATGCCATAAACATAAAAATACTTACTTTAATTTTATAACTAAATCTTGTCCCTAAGATGTTATGATTTTTATCATTTCAAAAATATACAATAATTTGTGTTAAATGAATAGAAAAGATATGTTAAAGTTAATGTAGCGAGTAATATCTTACCCAAAGTTGCCCATTATTCTTTATTGGTGACTAGACAGATCAATATTCTTGACTAGATTCTTTATAGTACATAATTTTCCCTGTTATACATTTCCCTATTATTCACTTCTCATTATCTGGTTTATAAAGTGAAGATAGCTTGTTTACTTGAAACTAAAGACACTTTTATTGGAATCTCTGGTAAATGAACTATTGCATGGTATCTGAAATATTCATCATGAAAATCAAATAAACTTTTAATATGGTTAGTACATTTAAATAAATAAATTTAAAAAAAATGGCAACAAAACACTTAATAACAGTTTAAACAAACTTATGTCATATACTTTGAACTGTTTCATAGTCCTGTATCAAATAAGTTTATGAAAAACGTAACTTGAGTGAATTCGTCACATAATAAGCTAAAATCACCTTATAAGTTTTAATATTATTTATTTAAATTACTACGAAGTATTTTACCCTTAAGGGTAGATCAAATTATATCAATTCCATGTTTGAAAACTGTTATTCTTTATATCTGCTTAATAGTTATTTAAATTTACTTATTGATTTTCAGTTCATTTATACATATTTTACTTTTTTGGTCTTTAAGGGTGGCATTTTTTGGATGAGATACTAAGTGAGAGCACAAATGATTTTATAGAAATCGATCCAAACCCATAGTTTTTAAAGGTCTACACAGTATTTATTTGTCATCTATCAGATGTAAATGCCGGTATTGATCAAGCACTTGAATAGCATATTGTAAATATCAACAAATAAACTCAAGTTAATTAGTTACTAATCGACTCGCTAACTAATCTTTTTATCAAATGTTAATGAATTTGATTGCCGTAAAATCGCAAGGTAATCCTTAACAAAACATCAGCAGATCCGTTCTTTTGTCTAAGTTTTGATTACTAAAGTTTTGGATAAACCGCTAAGAAATTTCGTTATTCCTTTATTATCTTCTTAACTTATACCTTAGTTTAAAGAGACGTTTTCTTAATTAGTTTATTGTTTGCTACAAGTATATATGAACCACATTTACTTAAAGCGTAACAGTTGTATACTAATTTGATTACTATTCAACGTAAAACTGTCTTTTAAAATATAAATAACTTCTTGATCAGCATTGTACGTGTTATTAGGTTATTAGGTTGAACTAATTAGGTTAGTTCAAAAGTGGCGGAAAATATGATCTTGATTTTATTATCCTATTCTATTAAACAATTAAAATACCTTCTATCCAGTCGAATTTCAATTCTTGAAAAGATAAAGGACGTTAAAAACTTTTTAGTAACATACCAGTGTAGTACACAAATTAAAAATGTGGCGTGGTAATTATTATTTGTACTTCTGAAAAAATATAATATTAATTCAAGCCACCGATATCTATTTTTATAACAAATACTATAAATAATTTACGTTGTAACAGACCGTTTCAAATTTTGTAGTGTATAAATAAATTTTTTGACACAAATACGCAGTAAAATATCGAACTAAAAAATAAACCTGGGCTTGAAAGCCTGTATTTGGAATGCAACGACAACAAAACCGATGAAAACAAACTAAGACAGTTGATTGAAGGAAACGATTGACGAAACTAATTATCCTCACAAAGCAGGTTCATCCGGCCAAAGGAGACACCTTCCTAGTGAACATTATTATTCTTATAGATCGGAAACAATGGAATGTTATGATAAATAAAAAACAATAACAAATAAATAATGAGTGTTGCTTATTTCTCAACATGATTTTGTAGTAAATAAAGAAGAATTTAGTTTAAACTTAGATGGATCAAATTCAGTTTTTCTTAATTTGTAATGCAAATTGGGTTACTGAAAAGTTAACTACCCCTACAACATTAGGTATTAAAATTTACGTATATTTTTATTTGGGTGCACTGGGTCTTTTTCCTATCTTTACTGATAAACTCTGTATTAGTAGAGAATATTTATTAGTAGAATGCCATGGGACAGTAATTATATTCAAATTGTAGTATTTATCCATGTATCACATACCAAGTAACTTATCTTTACTCATTTACAAAACATGCATTGTATTGTAAAATTGTGTTTTAGAAATGGTTGCAAAATGACAAATTGCGTTTGTAAAACATTACGAGCTCGTCTTTTGCTGTATAAGGTGTAACTTTACCATCGTCTATTTCAACAAATGAAAAGTAAAACGGGGGGAAAACATTTTGATGGAAATTCACGACGAAGGTTGGTAAATGTGGGAAGAAAATACGGGTATTTTTTGTCAATTACTTAGCATACATGGCGTTTTGGTTTTCTACCTACGTGCACCTAACCTACTATGGTTGAAATTGCAAAAATAGAGTGTTAAAATTTAATAAAATATTTGTCAGTGAATGCATGATTTGTTATTCAGTTTATTTATTTCTTCTAGTATAAAAATGTTAGGTACAAACTGTGAGACCAATTAATTATTTAAATAAGCGACTAACCTCTTTTGGTGATGAGTGAAGTATGTGTCTGCGGAAGAAGCCAGGGCTAGAGATATACAACGATATTAAGTTTGTATATATCTAGCCCTGGGAAGCTCAGTTTTTGGACAGCCTTATTGAGCCTGGTGTGGCAATGTGAAATCAACCACCTTTGTACCATTTTCTGATATATAGTTTACAGTCTTGTCTTATTTAACAGTATTAGTGTAAATTTCTGGCCAACGTACAACGTATTATTATATCATGTTATTAAACCAGCAACCATCATTTATTTAAACATTAAGAATAGGCTGAGAAGGGAATTATGACTCAAGCAGGTAATGTGTAGGTGTATATCCTCATTCAATATGGCTGATAATACGTTGGTGTGGTATTATCATTTGGAGTGTGCTTATGTATTTTTATATAGATGCATAGTCTGTTAAAATATTAAACCTTCTTCTTCTAAATTAAGTATCAATTGGTGTTTACGCCACTGTGTGCATCTCCAGCAACTGGGTTTTAATCCTCCCCACTTTCTGACACCGAGCCCAAGTGTTTCTATAAATACATAACACAATTTAGTAATATTACACAAATATTAGCAATGCTAAGATAAATAATATAAATACAGGGGGCCTAAATACTCTGACATGGAGTGATAGAAGCAATAACATTCTGTGTGTGATGAATATTACTGACAGTTTGACACTATTGTAGCAGACTCACGCATTGTGTTGAGTTATGTGTAGCCTCAATCGAGGGATGAGTAAAGTTTTAATAGTCACGTTCAGTGTCAAAATTGAAGTAATATGTTTCTTTCTAAATACGGAGATTATAATTTATACATAGCTTTGTGGGAAACTTTCGCGTATTAAGTTCCCATTTTTGTCAAAAAACAATATGAAATTGAAATGTCTAATTTTATGTTATGGTACATAACCCCGCAGTAATGTAGTATATCAAATGTTATGTAATAAGCCATACTAACCCATTTATGCTTATATTCAGATTAAGGGAGCTGGGCCTTAATCGAATTCAAAACGAACTATTTAATTTTGTAGATTTAAGTGGCATTTGAAAATTATAACATACCAATTTTGTTTGATGTTCTTTTGTTTTAGATGACAAAAATTAGTTTGATTAGTAAATATTGAAACCGTAGAAAAATTTCAAAACTAGCAATCAAACATAGTAAAATATTGTTTGTGACAAAAGAAACTCTTGGTACGAACCTCTTCAGGAAAATATTAGAAATAAGGTTACGAATAAATCTACAGTTTTTCACGCTAGCAAGAAAAATAAAACTTTACCTTTAACGTTGTGCTAAAAGAAAGTCACCGTCAAACGTTCTTTGAAAACATACTTTGTTTCTTTTGTTCCGTTAGATAAAACACTTTTCGGAAAGTTGAAGAATACTGTGCTATGATGGAAACAATCTACACAGTAGTGTCCTAAGATTCGATTTTTGTTGCATAGATTCCAAGTCTACGTCGAAGAAAAGGACTACAGTAATAGCTACTATTCTTCCACTGCAGTTTAAAAGAAAATTTTTATTTTAGTAAATTTTAAATGACAAGGAAAGCACATTGATTAATACAATAGTGTGGATCGTGTGTGCAGTTTACTACAAACAAGTTATCAATATTAAAGAATTATTGAAATAAGCCATATATTTCGCCATAATTCATGCCATAAACTCAATAAGTTACTAATGGACTCGCTAACAGATATTTTTAATAAATGTAAATAAATTGGATTGCCGTGAAATCGCTAGGTTATTCTTTTTGAATTCAACGTGGGGGCTCTTTATATACTATGTAAGGTAATCCATTAACTTACATATATAAAAAGTTCGTTCGAAATCAATCAAACTTTATCTCAATGTACAAAAGATCAGTATAATTTGGTTATTTACACACAAAACCAGTACCTATACAACTAGTTGGTTTTATCATGAATATAAGGAACTGATTTATTGTGACTTATTTAAACAATATTGAATATAAATTGTATAGAACACATTTA